GTGGCTCTTTCAAGCATAATGAAATACTACTCAGCTTTAAAAATACATAATCTTGGGGCCAGAGAGATGGCTCAGCAGCATAAGCACGTGCCCCACAAGCAAGTACGAAGTCCTGAGTTCGATCTCCGGTACCAAGAAACATAATACTGCTATTTGTAACAACCTGGATACACCTAAAGACATTAGGTTGATATCAGAAAAATAAGTACATCTCTCATGTATGTGGAATCCCACAGTCAAAACTGTGTAAACAGTGAGCAGTAGACAGCTGTGACCATAGTGGGAGAAGAGGATCAAAAGGGAGATAGAAAAGGATAGTTTCAGGGAGACAGGAAGTTTATTGGAGAGCTAATGGATGTTAATATAGCAATGTAAAACCAAGATTTTAAACACTTTCATCATAAAAATGAGGTGACAGACATGTTAGTTAGCTTGACTACACCATTTTCTAATGCATATAAAGCAACCCTGTACCTCATATATGTCTAAAAAGGTTAAAAGACATTTCCAGACATACAAATGCTAAAAAAATTAAAGATTGCCAAGAGAAAAATGAAAGCCCCACAGGCACAATAAATAAATAAATAACTTTAAGACACATTTTTAGGGCCTGCCAGGTAGCTCAGTTCATTAAAGCGCCTGCTTAGGCAGACACAGGGGTCGGGGGTTTGGTCCCCAGCAGGCCGTGCCAGCCCCATCCCTGCTGTGCGCTGAGACAGCCATTAAGACTGGGCGTGATGGTGCGCACCTGTAATCCCAGCCCTTGGGAGGCTGAAAACAGGATTAGTGCAAGTCCAATCTGTGAAGTGAGACCCTGTACTAACTTTTAAAAAGATGTATTTTTACAGACATGAAATAGCTACTGTACAAATGCATAAGAAAATATTTCATTATGTAAATCTTTGATAAAAAAAATACCAGTGGGGGAAATGTATACACACGTCACACATAGCAACAAGGGGGACTAAATAAAGCACGTATATATGAGTATTATTTGAAGCTACAAAATAAGCACAATTTTATTAATCCCAAAACAATTAGAATTATAAAAAAGCTAATACTAGACAAAAAGGAATCATAAAAATATTTAATCCAGAAGGCTGAAAGAAAAATGGAAAAAGGGGGACAAAAAAAGATAAACTAAATTGAAGATATGAAGATGGCAGATTTAAATCTAACCATGTGACCATAAAGTAAAAATGATCTATTCATTTAGTAAGGAGTTACTAAAGTGGATTTAAAGAAGACTTGATTATATTTTAATTCAAAGAAATACACGTCTAATAGACTGTGAAATAGGAAAAAAATGTTCAAATGGAAGGGGAACGAGAGAGGGGGCTGGGGAAAATCAGGGATAAGAAAAAAGAAAACAAGAAAACAAAGCTTTGGGGGCCAGGGAGATGGCTCAGTAAAATAAGCGCTTGCCTGGCAAGTGCAAGGGCCTAAGTTTACTCCCTAGTTCCGCCAAAAAAAACCAAAGCTTTGTAAATGAGGAAGAGGGGTTGAAGGGAAGGTGGGGAAATGGGGAAAAAGAATCAAAATGTATCATGTACAGGTACAAAATCCCTGTCATCAATGTGATTATTATGTCTACCTAAAATGTACCAACAAAAAGTCAAATGCAAGGAAAAAATATCAAAAAAAGTTAATGGATAAGATCATATTACATCAAAAAAAATTTTTTTAAATGCACAAAAAAAGCACAAGGGGATCAAGAGATGAAGGGAAGCTGGGTGTGGTGGTGCATGCCTGCAATCCCAGCACTGGCACTTGGGAGGTTGAGGCAGAAGGATCATTTCAAGACCAGCGTGGCTACAAAATAAGTTCAAGGCCAGCCTAACAAAAAAAAAAAAAAAGATGAAGGGAGGTAAAGGATGGAAAAAGAAATTAAAATATATCACGCAATACTCCAATTTCTCACAAGGAATGCAAACATTACATACTACAAATGTAAAGAAATAAAAAGGAAGATGTGGAAAAACAATCGGAATGCTATTTTACTATCAGGCAGTATAGATTCTTTTTGCATAAACACATACAAGCACACAGCTATTTAAAAATATTATACTGTGAGAATATAACAATCCCTAAGGTTTACATAGTTTTCTGCATTTTCAAAATACATAAAAATAGAAACTGAGGGCTGGCAAGACAGCTCAGCAGAGTAAGTGCCTACTTAGGCAAGTACAGGACCAGGGTTCAATCCCTGGCACCACATGCTGAACCAGCCACTGAGACTGGGCGTGGTGGCGCACGCCTGCAATCCCAGCACTGGGTAGGCTGAAAACAGGAGGATCACTACAAGTCTGAGCTGCATAGTAAGACCTTGAAAAAAAAACCCAAAAAACAGAAACTGACAGAACTACATACCACTTAGTAAAGAGAGATATGGTACACTGATACATACTTGAATGAAATCTCCAAATGTGTAGTGAAAGCAGCCAGATAAAACATTTGGATTCCATTAGGTTCTCAAAAAGGCAAACTATTCTACAATCAAAGATCAGTGATACAAAGATGAGAGGGATGGTGAAGGGGCAGAAAAATTTAATTACAATATGGTGGAAGATCTATGCTCACATGTTTAACAGAATTTATCATGCTTTTGAATATCATCAGTTTTGTCAATATGCTTATTTTAAAACCCAATTACAGGGGCTGGAGAGATGGCTCAGTGGTCTAAGGCACCTACTTAGAACAAGCTTGGCAAAGCATCAGGGACCGCAGTTCAATCCCCCAGCACCACATG